GGCAAGCATCCCATGACTGTAGCTTCTTCTTCCTTCCAGATTACACCTCATGGGGGCAGAGAGCGTCCTAGGTCTCAGGCAGAAGTCTAAACCTCACCTACAGCTTCACAAGAAGGAGATGGAGCCAGGCTTTTTGCCTTAGGGATAAAGGGATCACGGCTAAGAAACCTGCAACTGCTGCCAATGCAAATACAGAATCTTGTCAGCAAGGCACTAGTCAAAAATGTCGGTGATGTCCTATGAGACAAGACTGCAAGATGGGTTGGAAGGTAATCTTCCTGTGACAAGCCAGAAGAGTGGGATTTGAACGAAGACTAGATACTCTTTGATACTCAGGAGGCAGAACTATAGATGGAAGTTCCAACGTGATGGATTTTGGATCTACAGACAAAAAGTCATTCTGAAACCTTGGAGGAAGCAACATGCTGATGACACTTTCTGGGCCTCGCTTCCAGCCCTGGAGCTGGAGCGTGGTGGGGGCAGCCCTGCCCGGCCGGAGCCCACCTTCACCGTGTAGAGGGCGGGAGTGAGTGTGTGGCTCTCTAACTGTGAGGCAGTGGACATGCTGTTATCAGAAGCTGGGAGTGTGGAAGCCAGCAAGCAAAGACAATAGATGTCTGCTCTTTCCCGCTCTGTCCTGTACGTGCAGGACACAGAAGTCTCACAAGTTGAAGACGCTGACTTCTACGAAATCATGAGATAGTTGAGCAAAATCTGCAGATTGACTCTTTAGAACCCTAATATCTTTCCAAAACATATACTAGGTGAAACATTTATATCTATTCTGCCTTTTGCTTTATGGATTAACAAAGTATCCTTAATAAGCACAGTCATTTTGGGATATATCTGAACCAAGTTTGATGCCCCCTCCCCAGTCGCTGACCACAGGAAAATGGATAAGATGTTTATTTTGTGTCCCAGTTTACTCCTACGTAAATTAGAGAAAATAAGGTCTACTCTGCATTACTCTTGAAAAGATTATGCAAGATGATATTTCAAAGGAAGAAGCCAAGCACATAGTATACACCCAGGAAATGATAGCTATGCTTTTGTTTGTTTGTTTGTTTGTTTTGTGGGGGAGGCAATTAGGTTTGTTTATTTATTTTTATTTTTTTTAAATGGAGGTACTGGGGATTGAACCCAGGACCTCATGCACACTAAGCATGAACTCTACCACTGAGATACATCCTACCCCCCTGATTTTTTTTTTATTATTATCATTGGTTTTAAAATCCTTTGCAGCCAAACCTTACAACACGGTTTTCTATTTATTTAGATTAATTTAACTGACTAATTAAAAGCTGTTGTGTATCCTGAAGATTTTAATTGTTCATGTTTCATTGTCTGCATGGCTTCCCGATTATCTTTGCTACTAAATAATAATTATGCATCGCAAATATTTGCTTGAATTTTGTATAAACCAGTTTTAAATGAAAGAGCTATTTACATTAATCAATTTAAATAAAGAGCACCACTTCCTCGTAGCTTTCTTGCTACCAACTTTACTTTTAGTCAAATGTGAACGGCTAATACTGCACTAATTTCTTTAAACCATTATGAAATGACAATCAATTAAGTGCCATTAGAATGGCAAGACTTTTCCATCTGGGAAGGCACACTTTCCACTACCAGATGGTGCTTCTTTTAGGCTAACTATATCAGCCTTGTGATATTTCTGGAAGTATTTCTCTAATAATTAAAACTATTTAAAAAAAATCTATGTTTCATTCCCATTATTTCTTATGTCAAGAAGAGATGGAAGCTGCCAGTGAAGCAAAGTTCCTGGACTCTCTCATTTTGGTAAATAGCAGCGTCCCCTACCCCACTCCTCAAATCCAAGCCCCAAGCTTCATCTTTCTTCCCTTTCCTCACATGCCACGTCCTATCTTCAGCAAGAACTGCTGTGTAGACATTTCTAGTTCTGTTGCTACCACCCAAGTCCAAGCCACCATCTCCTCTCATGTGGTCTATTGGAATAGCCTACAAATTAGTTTTTTTTCTTCTGTTTTTATTCTCCTCCAATCCACTCTCCAAGCAGCTACAGAGTTGCTTTCGTAAATACAGAGCGCGCCCCTCTCCTGGCTGAAACACAGTAACAGTTCCCAGCATTTTGTAATCCAACTCAAATTCTGTACCATGTCTTTTTTAACCTCTAGCCCTTCTCTGATTTCACCTTTCATCACTCTCTCCCGTATTTTCCAAGTTCCAGCCATGTGAATCTTTCTGTTTCCTCTGGAATATTCCTAGACCCACACTTGAAATGACTTCTTTTGTGTCTCAGCTCAAATGCCACGTCCCAGGATACATCTTCTCTAGCTACTCTGATAAGTAGTGACTAAACCAATTTGATCATTTACAGACATTAAGTCCTTTTTGAGGGGGATAGATATTTAGAGGAAGTCAAGGGCCAAAGTTTTTCTCTCTCTCAAACTGGCTACCAGCAAGCAAGCAAAAACCTGTCTAGACTCTACCACATGTGCACCAATACTGCAGTCAGCAGCCCTTTTCTCAGGATTAAGACTGACGTCTCAGCACATGCTAAGAAACTGATACTGGAAGCACTCTCATAGCGTTGGATTAAAAAAATCACAATTCTAATCATTGTAAACGTATCAAGTGAAATAAGTGGAAAATACCAGAAAGCCATACGCCATCAACCACAACAATCATAACATAATTTGATGATTGTGAAATGACTTCAGGGTAGATTTCATTTTAATATAAAAAGAAAATCTATTGGGAATCTTGTCTCGCTGGTGTGTTACAAGAGGAAAGTCAGAAATCAGCAACTAGTATTTTTGCTGCTGGAAGGCTGAACAGTCTAATCAGGACAATGTGTGCAGGGGCTGAGCTTTGAATATTCACTTAGCTGAGATGCCAAGGAGTTCATCTATAAGTGATAAGTATTTTAGGTGTGTATACTTTATTCAGTACTTCCCTTTAGTGTAGGTTTTTATGTGTCAGTTCAGCTCCATATCCAATAAATACTTTCACCTTGCTATTCATTTGAATTGGAGTTACTATGCAGAAATGACTTTTTGATTCTGACAGCTTTCTGCTGCATTATAAGAACCTGCACATCACACCATCATTCCACAAAAATGGCTTGGCAATTTTCTATGAATTTTTTTTAAAGTAAAGGAATCTGTTCACAGAGGAAGGGTTCTAGAAAAAATGTTTCAATATTAAAAAATTTAATAAGAACCTTTAGGACCTAGGATATGACAATAGAGTACAGTTTCGCATTAAAATAGACTGAACAATTTTAAAAGAAAATTCACCACATTTTTAAAAAATTCAAAGATTTAAACATATACATTTTGCCACAGTTTCATATGTAACTGCCAGGAGAGTTAAAAACAAACAACAACAAAAACCCAAAACAAGACCAGAGAACAGGGAAAGGATAATCTCTGAAGAAAAATTCCTCAGCATTGAAGTACAACCTCTTTGAATTCAGGGTAGAATTTTCCTTTCATTGAACTAGAGCATGAAAAGATCTTTGAAGTTTTTTATTCTAGTCTTTAGTCTTCCTTGAAAATTATAATTCAAATACGTTCTAAAACACTGTTTTAAACCATGCATATTTATATGCAGGTTAAAGAACAATAATGAATGAACTACGTAAGTGAGGGTAAGACCACTGCATCCCCCTCCCACAGTGACTCTGGGCTCGGTCACATGACTTGCTGCCAGGGGGACGATCGCAGGCATGACTCTCAAGTAGAGGCTTGGTAATGCTTGCACGTTGGGCTCCTCTGCTTGGAACCCGGCTGCCTTGCTCTAAGAAAGCCTGTCAAGTTTTCTTCAAAGAGAGAAGCCATGTGGAGGAGAAAGTGGGGCAACAGCCGGCCCCAGACATCTGAGTGAGGACTCCTTGGGTGTTCTAAGGCCATCAGAGCTCCTGGTTGAGAGGTTCGTGTGAGACACCCTGGCCAGTATCATGTGGAGCAGAACTACCCAGCTGAGCCCTTCTCGAAGTCCTGACCCACCGAACTCTAAGCAACACATTGATGTTAGGTAGTTACAGTTTGGGGTGGTTTGTTACAGAGCAGCAGATAACGGATACGGTAAGGGACAGCCAGGACTCCTAAAGTCTGTCTGGAAATAATTCCAAGGTACATTCTCCACTGCCAAACACCTCCTAGACATCTGTCATCTGTTTATTTATTATTAAGCCTGTATCTCTTATTCTGACTCTAACCAGTTGGCTAGAAGAACTGAGATGGCTGACGTACGTGAAAAGCATTGTGAGAACGGCTTTACTGCTCATTGACTCAAACAAAATGCCACATCTTTGTTGGATTTCAGGGAAAGAGCACTATTGATGATGGATGTGTATTAAATGAATTGCACTCTGCAATGTGATCAAGCTGTGGGTGGGACAAGCAGGTACAGAGTAAATATCATTAAGGAACTCCCAGCACGTGAGTCTTCTGTAGTCCAGTCAAGCCACATCCCCTTTGTTTCTCTATATGGAATTGTACCCTCACAACAAAGTTTAGGCACTAAAAGGTGTAAGACTCTGGAGGAATTTATTTTCTCAAGGAGTCACAAATATGAGGTTTATTAGATTGAGAAAGCCAGCAGGTATGTTTGATCCTTCTTTCTCTAAGTGTTCATTCACATAAGGAGCTAACGCGCCTCAGGAAAAGAATGCATTGGAACTAGAAGCAGTAGCAGAAGCATGTTAAAAGGGAAGAGCCAATGGACAACGCACCACTTCTGGTGACACAGTCCCACTGAATTTTGTGTGTTGTATCCCAAGTTAGAAGCCATAGCAACTAACTGGTTCTAAAAACAAAGTGTCTGGATGCCAAGAGGAAAAAGATGCAATCTGCCATTAAACATACCGAATGCTGGGATAATAATGGTTAATATCATTGTTCCATGTTCTTACCTGCGGCGTTATCTACCAGGGGACTGTGGACGGAAGGGTTAGATGTAAAATGCCATTACAGAGAGTCCTGATCAGACAAAGACACGAAAGTGGTACTTACAGAGAGGAGAATCTGAACAGCACTGTGGATGACCTCCAGGTACTGGAAGTCGACGATGCAGCCCGTGACGGAGACGTACGTGTAATCGTCCATCATGCCGTGTGCTGACGGGGGCAGCACCCTTCGGACACAGCCGGGCCCGTGTTCCCGCCACCACGACCGGTGTACAGAGATGTTGAATGTCATTAGATCTGTATCCTAGTGGGCAGGAGACAAGAGAGCGAAAGGAGACCATCATATCACATCACATCTTTGCTCTTCATATTAAGACGAATTCAGGAGAGATGAAATTGCTGAAACGGTTTAAATTTCAAGTAAAAAGTGACGAAAGACAAAGCCAACAATGGCCACATGTATTGTATGGCTAAGTGGCTCATTTTTCACTGGGGTTATAATTATTCAATGTGGAGATAGAATTCTTTCAATAATAACATTTTAAGGTTAGCACACATCAAAAATCCAGAGATGATATGTTTATTTAAAAAATTCATATGCTTATTTTAAAATTATTTTGTCTATACTGAAATTTTCTTCTTGCTTCATTGTCATTAGAATTATCCTCATGGGCTAACATTTATTGCCCTTAGTGTTTGTGGAGGGTCAGCTATGAAGGACTAAGGTTATAATGCTTTTGTCCTAAACAATGGTTTGAAAAGAATACATGAGGAACCAAGACTCTTGACTCTCAGATAAATTAGAGATTACAGCCACCCCTGTGGGCACCTGAGGAGGTGTGGTGATGGAGAGAGAGCAAGGGTGCCCACAGACCACGGGCCAGGATGTGGATCTGCAGGGAGCCGTGGATATAGGCGCAGCTGGTCGATTTCCCAGCCTCCACTCCCATCAAGCTCACTGTCGCTAGTGCCAGGGGGACATGCGGAGTGGGCACCACTTCTGCTCAGCCGCCCAGGGGCTGCCCGCTGATTGTCCAGGACAAATGATGCTCATCTGTGCATTCCAGTGCCCCTCGGAGGACCATCCCCACCTCAGTGGCATGGAACACTCCTAAGTGTCAGAAATTGAATTTGGAACTCTGAAAACTTAGGGGAAGCTGGTGCGAAGTGGAAAGCCCTTGAACTTCTAGCTGACCAGCATGAGACCCGCCTGGGCAAGGTCAGTGGAAACCCCTCCCTTGTTATCCTCTGCTATATGTGGTACCTGCATCTCCAGATGAGAAACATTTCCAGTTCACATTAGTAGGCAGTTTTTCCGTGGCTTTAGATTTTCCTCAACTCAAATGATTCCAAGAATCATTATAAGAATGCCTTTGATTAGATCAATAATAAAACATTTTATATCTTTTTTTTTGGTTGTTGGTTTGCTACATATATTCTGTTACCTTCACAGCTACAGCATTTTATGGATAATAAGACATTTTACATCATCTTTTTTTCTTTTTTGGTTATTAGTTTGCTACATGTATCATTTGTACTTACTCTCTGGAGGGAAAATATTACAGAAAAATAATTGCTTTTGTGAGTGAATTCAGTTTAACACAAGGCAATTTACCTGCAGGCAAACTGCACACTGCTCCCTTTCCTGGCCATTAGATTTAATCTCTGGAAGTTAGTCTTGGTCACTACAGAAGAACTATGATTTCCCATCTTAATAGAATTCATCAGGTTCAGGATGAACTAGTATGATCTCAAAATTCATAGCAATTTCTGTTCTGGAAGAGTTCTTACCCAGTGGCCTTTTCTATTGCAGGACTGTAAGTTCCTTTCAATATGACTTTGACTAAAATTTATATTACCCAAATAAAACAAAAGTGAATTTAAGAACTAATGATACATGTTTGTTACACTCATAAAAATCTCTCAGTGTGGTTCTCACTTAATTTGCTGGCACTGTAACATATTTACAAACTGTACTATTTTTTGTAATGGCTGTATTAAAATTTGAATGAGAACATCAACAGCATCAAATTATATTAAAAATTCTAAACTCTTACTTAAATTTGGAATAAAATTTTATCATAAGTTTGTGTCTGATTTCTATCTCCTTTGACAGTTAGATATCAAACATTAAAAAAAAACTCAACACATAATCAACTCAGTTTTGCATGAGGCACATCAGAGGGAATGCAACTCAGAAAACCACAATTTTTTTTAAATAAAAAGAACTAAATAAATGAATACAGAAGATCATTTATTTTCTTGACTCTTTTGGTTATCATATCAAAGCCTATAGTTTTGAAATACATGGTTTAGTTAAACCATAGATCAACAAAGTGACCTTAAACATAATTATGAGTAGCTCAAATGTCATTTCTTTTCCATTTCTTGGAATTAAATATTATCTGATAATTTAAGCACACTATGGTTAAAAATATTGACAAGCGATGTCTTTGCCATTAGAATTTTTTTTTCCAAATTAAAGATTTTATATTCTCATATTCAGCAATTGGAAAAAATAAAATGTTTATCCTGAAATCACTGATAAATTTCTATCTTCATACACAAAGAAATAGTCTCAGAACTGAAAAAAATCAATAAGCTATATTTAAATGATATTAAAAATTTAATATATAGTTTTTAAAGGTAGAGTGCAAAGAGTCTGTCGTAATTCAGTAGGGGAATGATTGTCTTTATCTTTTTTTTTTTCTTTTTTTTTTTTTTACATTTTTTATTGATTCATAATCATTTTACAGTGTTGTGTCAGATTCCAGTGTTCAGCACAAATTTTCAGTCATTCATGGACATATACACACTCATTGTCACATTAGAATTTAAAAGATGTAAATAATGGTGTTTGTATTTAGGCAAGTGTGTGTGATTACCAAGGGACAGTTGGTAAAACAAAGAAAGCAAGGAGAGAGAGGAGAAACATGGGAGGTGTGGGGACAGCCTGGGAAGAGACAGTGTCAAGGCCAACAGGAGGAAGAATTTCAGGGCAGTTGGTCACACCACAGTCAAAAAACCTCCTAAAACAAAACAAACATGCAAACCAACAACAGTGAATTTGCTGATCGGTGGGGCAATACCAGGAGAGTGCTGGGAGTGAAAAAAACAGATTTCAAGGAATTGAGGGGATTGAGACAGATGATTTGATGTTTTTTCACGAAGTGTGGAAGTCAAGGTGGTAAGAACATGGGATGATGGCTTCAAGGGTGCACAGGAGAACATGAGTGAACATGTGGAGAATAAGATACTGGCTGTATCTCCTCACACTCCCAACCTTATGACTTAAAATTACTCCAGAATATCTGCTCTTCTCTAAATAATCTACTCAGGTAAATGTTAAATGTTTACAAGCCCCTTCGCCTCATTAGTGTGAATCCCATTTTCTTTGAATACTTGAATTTTTTAAAAAAGAGACATTTCCAGAATGATTTGAAATGTTCATTAACTTGGGTATGCGGACATGCCTGCCCACATTATTTGCAGTAAGTGTAGCCACCGTATTGGAATTAGCTCACGTCCTGAAGAATTCAGTGTTCACTTTCTATTATAGTAGACCACTCTATAAATTTTCATTAATCAAGGAGTTACTCATTCTTATTCTTCTTTGTTCTTTTAATCGTCTGCTTTTTTGTATGTGTCTAATTTAACTTTAGCTAATCCTCTCTATTGCTAGAAATGGACTCCCAACCTCTGATAATATTCATTTTTCTCCCCTTTCTCTTTAGTTGTGGCTCAAAGGGTCACTGAATCCAATCTTACATGGCGATCTGCTCTTTTGTCTTTTCACTTTCTTTGATCATAAGCCAGCCCATCTGGAAGTGAAAATGTGACCTTGAGGAGAAGTCCACATGTATTTAAGAAAATAGATTTCAATTTTAGAGTCGGCTTTGAGTTTACATTTATATAATAGAATTCATGTCAATTGAAACTTCTTCTGAAGGACTGTTCATCTCAGAATAGGAACTGGGAAAGTTAAAACAACTTTCTTACATTTCCAATTATTTTCTTTTCACCGAAGCATCAAACATTTCAGAGCGTACTGTAGATCCATGTAACAAGGGACAAACACAGTGCTGGCTAGTGAGGTTTAAGTGTTTGGAGCCCATAATACAAAGACTTAGCGTCAGTTCAAATATCTCAACCAGTGTATATTATTTTCCTACATCAGAAGCAGCTCTTAGAGACAGGCTTAAAAGGCATCCAACCTTCCACTGGAAAGTGATTGCCATCTGCCATTGCTCTCTTACAGAATCCTTCCTGCAAGCCACCTGCACATCATGATGCTGTCGGCCTGTGACGCTGGTGCCGAATCTGAGGAAGGTTTGCAGAGCGGGCAGTGGCCATTGATTTTGACTTTCTATTTCTTACCCTCGCAACTAGGCATCGCTGGGGCTTTTCAATTGTCTACTATTGATTAGAGGCCAGAGGCAGGGCTAAAAGTAATCAAGCCTTCTGTCTTCATTCCTGGGCTTAAATTCCTTAGACTGAGCCGTTTCGGGAAGCCCTGAAGTCTCATCCATCTATTCAGCAGGGAGTTACAGAGTTTCTAAAACGAGCTATGCACTGGGATTTAAGAGTGAATGTAAGATCTTATTCTTGCCCTCACGGAACGTATATTCTAGTGGAGAACACAGGCAATAAAATAGACAGAAATACTTGTATGTCGTAAAAAATAACATAAAGGGAATAACGTGATGGAGAGTGACTGGGATGAGGAGTGGAGTTATTTTACAAGAGATGGTCAGAGAAGGCGTCTCTCATGGTGGGTATTGGGCCAAGACCTGTTGGATGAGAAGGAACCAGACACGTGAAGATGTGGGGAAAGTGTCGTGTGCAAACAGAACTAACAGTAGACGTAGGAAGCAAGCCCTGATGAGGAGTCGGGATTTTATACAAAGTCCAGCTGGGAAGTCAAATCCTCGTCTCACCTGCTTTGCATTTTTAAAAAGACCATTCTAAGAACTGTGTAGAGAATGGATTTGACTGGGGCAGAGGTGGAAGCCAGTTGGGGGGGTATTGTAGCAGGTAAGGTGACTCGGGGAAAGGGGCAGCAGTAGAAGGGGCAGGACAGGGGTGCAACGTGTTTTGGAGGCAGAATAGCACGTGGAGATGAGAGGAGATAAATGAAGGAGACTCCAGCGTCTGATTGAGCAGGAGGGCGCCCATCTGTTGAAGGCAGTTCTCTGACGGAGGGGGCAGAGCCAGCCAGTTACTCAACAGCCAATAAGTCAACTGCTGGGGGGTGTGCACACCAGCCCCGTAAAGGGTGGATAGATGGGGCACGGAAACAGTATT